AATTGAGAGACCCTTGGTTGTAGGCCTAGATTGGTCCTAGTCTGCTGAAACAATTAGACATAATTAAGGAAAACATAGAGGAATCTTGCAACAACAACCACTACAGGAGTTAGAGCTAAACTGTCTAGTCCTAGCGCGGTCCTAGTCCTTGTTGAAAGATCCAGATCCTTGGTCCCAGTTCTAGTTTGGTTCTAGTCTACTGAACAAGTAAAAAAGGAAAATCCACTTGAAATTCAATCACAATAAGATGCAGGGTTAAATGGTCCAGTCCTAGTTTGGTCCTAGTCCTGGTTGAGAGATCCTTGGCTCCAGTCGTTGTTGAGGGATCCCTTCTTCTAGTCCTAGATTAGTAGTAGGCTACTGAAATATTTAGAAATTAGTGAGGACAGTATGGAGGAATATTACAAACGAAATTCTATCTACTGAAACGTGCTTGTATACAGTGCATATATGTTATATATGTATATACTCGTGAGTGTGCAAGTTTGCCAGAATAGTCCGAAAGGTGGTTGAGGGGCGCTATTGAACCCAGGAATCTCATAATCATCGGGGAGCGACGTTCGTAACCATCCGGCCACTTTTCTGAAATGGCTCCATGCCAATACGGGAAGGTCCAAATGTGTTCCTTGCGATTTCCTTTTAGACCAACGCTTCAAAGGGTAGCTGAAGGCAAATCCAAAACACGGCCGGCACCGAGTACCCCACTGTCAGCCCTGTCTCGAGCTTTGGTGGATGATACATGTTTTAACCAACAGTACAGCTGAGGCTGTGCCCAAAGGAGTTTCATTGAGCTTGATTGTATATCTGGGTGAATTATAATATTTCGCCAACCTGAAATCAGGTGGCTGGGGGCCTATTCCCCACATAAACCACAATTTGGGGCGAGGTCGTGTGAGGTCGTTATAATTCACCCAGTTGTGTATCCGTTGAAAGGGGAGCCTGCAATACGCCACGCAGAGTGGAACAAGCCTCGCTCGCCGAACCGGGCATCTCATTGAGCAACTTCTGAACTGCCAACGCACAACCGAAGAAGCTCTACTCGGCCCTTCCGACGCCCTCAGCTGCAACTCCAAAGCTTGTACAGGGCCACTTCACTTCTGAACCGCCGACGCGCAACTTCACGGGCCGTGGCCTCGCTCGCAAAATGCAAGCGTCGTTTTTTCCCCCTTGTGGGATCTGGGCCGCGCCTGGCTGTCGGGGACGTCCTCCGGCCTGGAGGCATGGATCCCAGGTCTCCGAAACTCGGGCGAGTTTTCCAGGGGTCGGGGGCTTTGTGGAAAGGATTCCTTGGGCTCAGAATCCACCAAGCGGACATGCCTGAACTAAAAGTGCGATAGAAACCTGGGGTACCATACATAGCATATCTATGTGGTGCATGTCCTTGTGGTGTAAGCAGGACCCGTGCGCCCTCCCGATCTTTAAAGGGAACGGCTCAACCTGGTCCCTCGATTTGGCCACGATACTGCGCGGCTTGTGTAAACTGTCAAGCTCAGCTGCAGCATTTGTGCATCGGTAAGAAACCAATGCGCCCACTGGACTTGTCGACCAAGAACCATGCCAAAAAACGACATTCCGTGATCAACCTGAACATAGTGCACACTCAAAGGGTTGAAAGTCAATCGAGGGCCAAAGCCGCAGAATGCCGAAAGCTGGAGGCTCTTTCTGCATTGGGCACAAGCGGGCCGGCTACAACGGAAAACCATGGCACAACGAAAGTGGGGCTGCGTCCCATCCACCCGAATGCTTGTTGGTTGAGGCGATTGTCCTAACAGCACACTGAAGGACCCCTTCGGCATTCTACTAGTCTAAAGCATCAAGGATGACTGTCATCACAGGAATCACCTTGACATAGTTCAACTCTTCAAAGGGGAACCAAGCCTGAATCCGTGCATCTAAAGCCCGTAGCTGTCTGCAAGCAGCCCGGCTAGGTGCAGTCGAGCAGCGGCTTGTCTTCACTTGTCCTCAGGTCATCACGTTTCCAGCATCGGCTGCACGCTTGGAAGCGATGCAATGGACAGGCACGACATGAATTCTGTCAAGCCGCCACCGGGCGAGTTCGCTGTCACCCTGGTGCAAGCCCTGAAACCACCAAACACGAACCAAAAGGGCGGGATGCACTGAACAAAGTGAGGCAATGTTTGTTCCTTCCGGGTTGAAGCAAGTGCACAGCCCGCTCCATGCACTATTTCCCTCGTCAGCCGCCAAAAAATGGGACCTGTACAGGGGGAGGGGTCGCTTCATTGAGCCCTCACATTTGCATTTCGCAACATGGCCATGGGTCAAAAGCCCGAACCCCCAGTGAACAGCCCAATCCCCACTAATATCCCGACTAAAATGGGTGGTGAATTTACCTACCCCAAAATGGTATCCCATTGGGTTTTGACAACCACGGCCATACCTAGATCATCGTCAGCGGTTTTTGGGGTATTAAGCCGATTTGCATTTGAGCGGGAAATTCCGCCGACATGAAAAAAGAAAACGACCACGCTGTGTTATTGGGAAAGAAGGACCGCCAAATTCCGCCGATGTCCCAATACACAAAAACACCACCGGAGAAAAAACAACAAAAACAAAAACGCCGACAAAACAACACCTAAAACAGAAAACGCCGACAAATACCCAAAAACGCCGACATGGAAAAAGGCGCCTTTATTGAAAAAGGAAGAACAAAAGCGCGGTTTACGATGATCTATGGCTGGAATGGGATCCAGACGAGGCGCGGATGGGTCGGCTTCATACGTTCCGGCTTCCTTTTGGGCTCCATACCATTCAGCTGGTCCTGAGGGCAAGCGGCGCATCTTTGGCCTTATGTTTGCAGGGACAAACTTTGGCATCTGAAAGGAAGTCAATATGGCTGTGGGTCAAACATAGGGTAACCCCAAAATGGGTTGCCCTGGTAAATGCAAACATGGACTAAAACCGGAGGTCCCCTAGTGGTTTAATTTTGACCCACCCGTTATGTTTTCCAGCAAGGTCCAGCAACTACCTTGCACATCTCTTTGCACCGCCCTTGGCATTATTTTGACCAACGGATCCCAATCGTTTTCTTTGTGGACAAATCGATGGCAAGTTGTCTGAAGCAACATCAAAGAAGCGGGGCCAGCCTGTTTTCAACACTGACCAAAACGGACACGCAGATATCTACGGCTTGCAGAAAAAAAGAAAAAAAAAACGACAAGTTCAGAAGCGGTGGGAAGCAGGGCCCACGCCGCCGTGCACTTCATCGCCTGTTTGCTGGCCGACCTCAAGTCAATCACGGCATGCCGAGCACCGGCAAGGGATCCAGTCCTTGAACTGCTTGGTGTCAGCTTTCGACTCGGGCTCTCCTGCGGCGTTCGTTTGGCACTCACAAAAAAAAAAAAAACAGGTGCCAGCCAGGCTCAGAGGAAGGCTCCAGGCCAAAAGCCCGTCTTGCAGGTGGGCGCGCGAGTTTACCTCTGTTGAACTGGTCCCCTTGGTGTCCGGAGTTGGGAGGGCGGTTTCTCATATTCTCCCGCCTCCGCCTCCTTGAAACCATTCAGACATCTCTTCGATCTTCGGCGAGCATTGCCAGGCCATCGTGGGTGAGTAAGGATGCCACGATGCCCTGTGCGGGGGTCGTTCGAATCAAGGCCACGGAACAACGGCTGTGTGATGGAATTCATCCAATTAAGGAGCACTCTCACAGGTGCCCGCTAAATGTCTGAGCATGTTTTTTTGGTTTTGGAATACAACGCCACCAAAACGATTGCTTGAGTGAACCCAGCCCTTGTTTGCATTGCAAGGGTGCTTTGAGTCGGCACGCTGTCGGTATCTGCATGTGGTTGGAACCTGGGGTGCTTCAAGCGGGAAGAAAAAGCACAGCCACTGAGGAGTATCCATCCCGCGCGGCCTGCTCAGTCTCATGTGAGTCCATGTCGAAAACATCCCAATCCCAGCTGACAAAGGACTTCCCCACAAAATATCTAAGCTTCCACCTACACAACAGGGTTGGCCAAATATGGCAAAACAAAAAATCCTGGCAAATGCCGGACGCCATGACATGCCGGCAGGGTCCATGGAAGCTTCCATGTCCAGCTGGCCGGTGGCAGAGGGTCTTGATACATCCGCCCCAACACAACACAAAGGGAAGGCCCAAAATGCAAAATGCCAAACTGCATCGATTCGGAAGGAGAACGCGAGGACCCCACGTGGTTCTTCAGCAAAAATGGTTCACAGTGTTTGGGTGCTCACAAACTAAGTTTTATCAACCACCAAACAAATAGAGTTGGCACCGACCAAGCCCAACAACCATCCAGAAGGAACCAACCAACCACCAAATCAACTCAATAAGAACAAAATGAATGAAGAAAACCAACAAACTTGTTTGTCAACTCAAGCGGCAAGTGCGGGGCTTGCAGATCCAAGTAAGATATTTCCCAGCCAAACCCCTGTTGCTGCACAAACGGGAAATATGGGCTGGCAGTGATTCACTTCGTTTACACAGAATGGAACTAGGATTTCCGGAATCGCCGGAATCGCCACATGCGCCTGGTGACGACTCCAAAAGGGCGCCCTTGATCTCTGCAGCCGAAAAGGGCGAAGCGGGAGGCAATATGCACAAAACCACCAGGTGAGTTGGCTATGGGTCAAACCCCCAGTGCCCCGGTGAACACCCAAGCCTTCTGAAAAAACAACAGTGGAGCAACCATCCCCAAAAAGGCACCTTAGGTTTTGACCCACAACCAATTGATTCGTATCCGGGTGCAAAACTGCGTGCAGGCCGGGCCCCTAGCTCGCTCGTTTTCTGGGTGCTATGGATCGCTTTCTTGAAGGACATAAAGAGCTCAAGGGACTGAAATGTCGCAAGCTAAAACGACATGACTGGAGACCACTCAGCTTCTACTCAGGGTGATAAATGAGAGGCCCGCAAAAATCAAGACCGCCCATCTCTATTGGTCTCCTTTTGGGAGAATCCAAACTGTGGGTTATTTGGCACCCAGTGGGCTTGATTGAGACAACCCAAGCATGCCAGGCAGGGCTGGAAGAACTTTGCCAGCATTTCAGCGTCCACCTCCGAGCTGTTCTCTGGAGCCTGGCTGGCCCCGACATGAATTCCAAATCGGTCGTTCGCTTTATATACCTTTGTATCGATTTCGGTGCCGCTTGATGGCTGCCCTCCGTGTTTGTCCCTTTGCCCGGCCGAAACCGATCTTGACGCCTTCCCACAGAGGGGAAGGCCAAGACATCGAATGCATGTCCCCTGTGCCAGCTGTAAGAAGAAAGGCTTAGTACATACGGTTCGGGAAACTGATTGTAGTTCATACGACTGACTGGCAGGATGGTGCCAGTCAGAGACGTATGTGACAGAAGGCGATGCCGACAAAAAGGGAACTGGGGAATTCATAATGTCCACCTGCAGCAAACATGATTGTTGCAATATTTGCATCGTCCGAGTGGACCTGACCTAGTTAAGCAACGTGTGACGTCATGTTTAACCAGTTGCGCGTGCAGTCCCATGTGTGCGCGTAGAATACCTAGCCCAATCGAACTTAATACACTACGCACGCCGTCCAAGCAAGAACGCTCTCTGAAGCTGACCGCAGTTGACACGGCTTCGCGAACCTTAAACCTTTAAACCTCAATCACTGACACGCTGTAAAGGTCCCCACAGTGGAAAACTGGCTTGCAGAATCGAAACAATCACACAAACACACGGCTATAGCATTTGCCTCTCGTTCGTATTTAGAGCGTCTGCAATACAAAGAACCACTCAGATGATCACTGCCTGGCAGTTCCGATCACTTTCATTTCGCGCCAGAGCATAGAGCCATCGCTGGCAATTGCGGAGCTGTTGGGCAGCTAGCGAAGTGTTGCTGGATGCAAGGAACATTCCAGTGGGCTGAGCTCCCTGAAAGGCCCTCTCGCCCGAAAATTCCCACGCCCCGAACCTGGCACAATCCAGCCTCGCTGCGCGCAAAGGACAAGCTCTGGCGGCTTTTGGGCCGCAAAGCCCCCAAGAAACCTGAGGCAGGCACTGACTCCCACCGTGTTGCTCTTCTCTCTGCCTCATTCTCTCTCTCTCTCTCTCTCTCTCTCTCTCTCTCTCTGCCGTGGCGTTCCAAAGGGTCTTGACTGAAAAGGGCGGCCACCTTGTTGCTCTATGTTGCCCTTGTGGCTTCTTTAGCAGGCCCAGTCTTTTCCCCAGGCCTTAAGAGTTGGCCCTGTACCTGGAGATCCCATCTTCCAGGTTCAATTTAAAGGAACTGGCGTAAAAGTTGCAGTCCAGAAATAATCCAAGGAATCCCCTCTACCATTCGCACCAACCCGAGGTTAATTTGCAGGTGATGCTAGCAGGTTTCGCGTGGCTGTCAAAAGCTTGTGCAAAAACCAGTTTGTTTCCTTGAAGGGAAGTCCGGTCGCAAAGTCGAGGTGTTGCGATGTGCTGCGCTCCCGTTTCCGGGGCCTGGGCCCATGCGCCGCCAATGGTAGGCCACCATGAGGCCCAAACCGTAGCCTGAGGGATAGCCTCGGTTTGGGGCAAACAAACTTTTTACTTACACCAGCAACAACCGGAACAAACATGGAAATGGGCGGATATACGTTTTGATGCAGATGATGCCACCAAGGGGTCCTAAAATTTGAAGGACAATCAACATCTACCAAGACAGCAGGAAGGCACGTCATCTGCCACTTGATCATTGATATTCAACTCAGCCACGTTGGTGTAAGCCATGATAAGCCATGCCCTCTCCGCTTGGTATCATGCTGGTTCCCTTGACGTACCCCCCCCACTAAAGTCACAGTCCCCTTTCCACAACCACACGCGCAAACGCACGCGCAAAGAAACGGCGAGTCTTGTCTACCTCCACTTGCCTGCTTCTGGGTCAGCCGAGCTCACACCCAAAGCATTGCTCAAGCACGCGCCTTGGCGTTGGCCGCAAATCTGCCGCCTATAGAAAGCTGTGACAAGGCATCATGATGTGAATGAGGGGTTCGCAAAGCATCACATTTACATAATTCACCCAGCTAGGGGGTCTCAAAAGGCAAGACCCGTGAACAACACTTGTCACAGCTGTTTTGCTGGCATAGCAAAGGCTGCTTCAAGGACTGAGTTTTGAGAACTGAGCGGCACGGGCCCAGTAGAAATGGCCCTTGGATCCAAACATGCCCTGTGCTCAGATCACCTCGAAAGCGTAGCTGGTTAGCAGTGGCAGTATAATGGATCGGAGTTCATGGCTTCAAAGAAAAGAGAGAAAGAGGGAAGAGAGGACAATTCAAAAGCCTTAGGACCTCAGGAGGCAGGTGTCCCACTTCAGCCAAAAGGTTTTGGCCAAGCAGAACAGCTATGGGAGTTAAGACACCTACAGCTACACTACACTTTAGGCCATATTGATGCAACTTCCTGTTTAGCGGTCACGAGTGGCTGCCGGTTTTGGGGGGGAGGGAGGCTGCAGTTGCCCTGGTTCCATTTTCCTAGCCTTCCCTGGGGAAAATGCCAAAATATGACAGGAATTTCCAGGGGGTCACCGCTATAGCATTTATCGAGTCCAAGCGACATGTGGAACAAGTGAGCATAAGTGTCCGTTTCCAAGGGACATATTTAAATACTGTGGATGGACAGAATCCTGCACCAGTTTGAAACCACGAGAAACCATTGTTGGTTGGAATTTACAGGGGAATCAGCATTCCAGGGTGTCTTAGGTGGTGCGTAAGAGGATTTCGCAACCATCCACAGTATTGACTAAATCAAGCAAGGGGCTGGCCAACCCGCCATGGCCCGCCTCTGCGCCCATGCGCGTGCCATGAGCAGCACCGCTCCAGGCTTTGGGAACGATGCCTCTTTGCCTCAGCTTCGGTTGCTTCTCAAACTCGGGAACTTGGTTCCTTATTTGGCAGTGGGTCAAAAATAGGTAGCCAAAATGGAACCCTGGTAAATTGAACCAAGGACTAAAACCTGCGGTCCCCTGGTGGTTTTCAATTTTGACCCATACCCATTTGTCAAAGTAGGTGCTTGAATGGTGGCTTTCCTTCGCTCCCCTTCAAACCAAACTGGAAAGGGTAACTACTCTGAAACACCCATACGTCCCCTGCATGCATAATCCCACCACATACAAACATAAATTCACGTGGGAAGTACAAGCACTCCAAGTTGTTTCTGCTTGGCTTCCCCAACCACCATCAAGAAAGGATCCCCCTTTGAGACAAACCCACGACCAGCTCCCAACACACCTCATGAAACGGGTCATATTATATGCGTAAACACTACAGACATCATGTAAAAACAAAACACAACATATAGGTGGGGCATTGAAAAGACTGGAAACTCGCCCTGGCGTCCTTGTAGAATCGCACCATTTGCGGCACCTCCCCTCAGTGTTTGATCAAAAACCTTGAGGTGGACCATGGTAGACGGATCTGGGCTCCAGGCATGCTCGCGCCAACAGCTCGCTCTTGGCCAGGGTCACCAGGTGCTGATCAAAGGTCACCTGGCCGCAGGAGGCAACCGACATGGGGGTGTTATGACTAATGCCCCCGTGAGGGTCAAACGGGAACCGAAACTCCCGTGAAGGTCCTCCAATGCTGCACTTACTCAAGCTGCCGCAAATCAGAAAGGTTACAAGCGCGAAGTTCAACAAAAGTGGCTCCGCAAAGAGCCAGTCGCAATTCAGCTCGATTGCCTGCTACAAAGCTAGGTAGGCAACCATAAGTAAAGGAAGCCCTATGAAAGGAATCCTCGAATGCACCGTCTAACCACCATGGACATCGCCAGAAGGAGAGCTGAGAACCTGGGATTCCCCGAAATTTCCCTCGTCAAAACCATCGCTTCCCCCGGCCAAGCAGGTTCCGCCAAGGTTTCCCACGGAAGGCGAGGGTGACGTCCCAAAGGGAAGGCTGACGGGGTAGGATTGTGCCGCACGCCCCACCTCCACTCCGATGGTCAAGCCGGACCACCTGAAGCGCACGGAAAACTCGAAGGGCCACCGCCGAAAGAACAATACAAGCACACGACACACGTATGTATATATATATGCATATGTGTGTTTAAGCATATACATAGCTATAGAAAGGAAAACAACAAGAGCGACCCAACAGCCTCTTGGGGTGCCCCCTAAGTCGCCCAAACGAAGCGCCAGGATCCTCAAAGCCCACAGAAAAAACAGAAACATGTAGTTGTGTTTAGGATGAAGCTGACTGCCAAAGCGAAATTCACCTGCGCATGACATTTGAAAGAAGGTAGAAGTTGGCTAAACAAAACCAGCCTGATGAGTCAAGGGTAACCGAGTTCCCTTCCCTTCAGGAAAAGGGCAACCCCGCCCCCTTCCCAATGACCCTGGTAGAAGTTCATGTTGTTTTTGGGGGCGTTGACCCTTTTTGCGGAGAACCCAACTGAGTGCCTGTTCATCTGCAGGCCTATGGCCAAAACTAAGCTCACAAGCCCACCTGTTGGGTTCTAAGGCATGTTTGTTGTTTGGCGGCGCGTTGGTTTCGGGGAAGTCCCATGTTCGGGGACCATCGTCTTGGCGCGTAACGCATATGCCAAAACAAGAGAACCCTGCTCCTTTTGGATTCTCTTGAACTTGAAACCAATGTGAACCAAGGGTACCCTAAATCACACACACACACACCCAACTGGCCCTTTTCTTCATGCCATTTGGAGCAAAGTAATTGGCACCCGGGCCTTAAACGAAGCGTGGGCCGGCGGGCATCGAGAGCCATCTCTTCCACCTTCCACATGTTGTCCTGCACGGCGCACCAAACGAGTGACTAAGTGACTAAGTGTGTGTGTGTGCGCGCGTAGTGAAATTGATGGAGTTGTTTCACAGGTGTCTATAAATCAAAAGTATATAAACCTGCGCGCAAATGTCCACGCATTTGCGCATGCATGTTCATCAGGGTTTATTGTCTGCTGTGCTTGCCACGTACTTCCCCGTGGCCGTGCTTGATTCGCGCAGGAGTCACGTAGAAGCAAAGGAGCATCATCAAGCTTCGCGTGCCACCCTGGTTGCAAGTAGGCAACGCTTGGAGAGCAAATCCAACAGTGCAAAAGGAACTCGAAGCTCATGTCACCCTTTGAGCCAGCCATGTACAAGCCGAACCCGTAGGATTTCAGACCCACAGCGATTTCTGGGTCGATCCCCCAGGTCCGCGACTCTCCCTCCCAGGTTCCAGGACCCGTCCTGTTCAGCTTCCAGCTCGCGGCGGAGTCGCAAGAGCCGCTTCATTGAGACCTGCCTGAGACTTACAAATGCCCAGGCAAACTTCTCCTTTTTTCCTGGAGCGGGTTTTCCATTTACCTCAGGCTTTCCTGTGACAATTATCATCGTGATGACAGAAAGGTCATTTTTATAAGGTTTTCTGTGGGGCTGGTGCTCAAACCAAATCGTCCACAACTGTGTTCTACCAGGTTCCATGGTGTAAGGCCAACACAAGCACACCTTCGCCATGCTCATAGAACGGATCGCTCGGCCCTTTCAATTTGGAGGGGTTCTCGAAACTGATGTTAAGGATGCGAGCGGGTGGGAACCCCTTTGAACCATTTAGAAATTGTTGTTTGAGGATGTCACTTTAATGGACCAGTTGATTTTCGGTTGCACCAACGCGCTTAAGGTCTAAATTACTATAGCCCCTTGGGGACAAGCCCTTGGTGACAAACCCAAGTCTCCAAATAACACAAAGAGGTCACCCCTGCCCACATTCAAAGGTCCATGGTTTGATGGTAGCTTGGTAGGTGTGCAGGTTGGGCTGGTTAGGTTGGATGGCTGGTGCCTCTGGAAACCTTCCCTCGGCAATGCATTGATCATGTCAAAGTCGGTCAGTGAAATTCATTCAACTCGCCAGCAGTGCCATGCAACTAGGCTCATTGGAACTAAACTGTCAAGAGACGGCAAGGTGACGTCCCGTGGGACGCTGTGCACCGAACCCTCAAGCTGTAAAACCAACCACGTAGAAGGGTGTATACGGACGATGCCGTTATAGCCGAACCCGTGTAAACGTTGTAAGGGAGAAGGAATGATAGTTACAACAGTAGTCCTGACAAATGCAGCGCAAGCGAAGTGTTTTCGCTCTCAATGCCGATCACGTATGTATGCAGTCACACATCAGATCTTGAACCTCAATTGTGTCTTGAGCCAAATGGCGATCAATGGAACTTGGGAAGCAACACCAACAAGGACCTCAGAACAGCTACCCAATTTCGGCACGGGGCCTAGAGGGTTTTAACATCCCCCATTTGGGTCGCATTGTTCATCATGCGGTCCAAACACCACAAAACGTTCCACTGGCCACGGCTTCAACTACGAAATCGTGTCGTGCATTCTTTTACTTGCTATCACTACACCGTTCATTCGCTGTGAAACATGCCGGGTTCGATTGTACGAAAAGTGAAACATTCATCCTCCAATCGAAGCACACATCCATATGCAGGTGTATATAATACACAATCGTCGCGTCATTTGACCACCAATGAACAATCCAGCTGCCGCATTTGCGCATCGCGCAGCTGTCATCCATAAATGGGTTGG